AGCTCTGGCAATGGGGATATGGGGGGAGGGACCTGCAAACCCTTAGTTTGTTGTGTGTGTCCCATGGCAGGGAAGACTCTAATTGTGGATACTGTTGGGATCCCTGAATCCCAGTGTGCTCAGGGCTGTGCCTCAACTGGGAATGGCCAGATCCTGTCATTATCTGCAGGGTAAAATGAGGCATGCCAGCACAATGCAGGGGAGGACACACCAGTGTCTGGGTGCTTGGTTGTGCATCAACCATCTTCCTTGGAAAAGATCTCAGAGTCAACAGTCAAGCTCCAGAGAGGTGCAGTGACTCCAAAACAGTGCATCAGCAGTCAGCCACCCGTGGTGTGTAGCTGGGGGTGCAGGGAGGTGAGCATTACCTGGGCGCGCTGCGTGAAGAGTGGCCAGATGGAAAAATTAGCAGTGTGGCTAATCAATGTGGTGGATATTAAGCACCTCAGGGTTGGGGGGTTTGCATGGTGGGGGGGAGCTGAGCAGGGTCTAGGATCGATACAGCTCATATTAAGTGGATTAAATCCTGGCTGCTGATCTGAGCCCTCACTACCAGCAGGAGGTGGCAGCTGAGCAGCGAGTGTGGGGGTCCCACTGAGATCACTTCTCTTGGCGGCAGGGCCCAGGGAGGACTGTGTGGGGACTCACCAGACCAAGGAAAGCTGAAATGCCTGGTGGGTGGCTTAGCACTTCATCACATCCTTCCTCTGTCTAGTGTGTCAGCTAGGCTAAGGAGTCTCAGGGACCCAAGCTTCATCTCTAGAAGCCTTCCTGGCTCCAGGAAAGTCATGCCCTGGGTGAATGAGTGGTGCTAACAATGTTACTTAATCATGGGGAGGAGGAGGAAGTATAAGGCCTATTCATGTCTTGTTAATAAACCATGTTCGACCCGCTGACCTTTAACCTGCCTGACAAGCCCCGTTATCCCCATCCCTTAAGGAATATAGATGTCACCATGACAATGGGATGACAGGAGGGAGCAGGTCCCAAAGCTGCACCCAGCATGGGGTGTGGGATGAGGACACACTGAACTAGCCCTGCACAAGCACCCAGGCCGGCAATGCCAGGTGGAGGTGGGATGCTGCAGGGGTTCCAAGGCCAGTGGGGTGGCCAAGCATGGATGAGTGCCCGAGGCCAGCAGAGCAGGGCTGCGCTGCACACTGGCGGGGTATTGATCCTGGGGCTTGACAGTTTAATACTTCCGTTTATAGAGGAATATAGTTACATCGATGGCGTTAAATGAGTTACTAATTATATCAATACAAACACGATTAAAAGGGTCCTTGCTCATAGGTCACCACAAGCAGGAGCCGCTGGTTGTTTTGCACAACTGCCCCTGGGCAAGGCTCAGACCACTGCTCCAAGGCACATGTCTGGGGGGATGCTCTGGGGCAGTGTGTGCCCTGTGGGGTCAGGGGTGCCCATCCATATCATGTGGATGGGCACATCCATGTGCCTGTCCGGGGTTGTGCATGCATGTGTGGGACAGTACATCCCTTTCTGGAGTTCTGTGATCCTGTTTGGGGCTCTCTGTGCCCCTCTGGGGTTGAGGATGCACGTACAGGGTTTGCATGTTTGTATATGGGGTTGTGTATGTCTGGGGTTGTGCATGTCTGTTTGGGGTTGTGCATGCATGTATGGAGCTCTGCTCATTTGGGGCTGTGCATGCCCAGCTGGGATTTGTGTGTGCCTGTCAGGGCTGTGCATGCCTGTCTAGAGTTGTGTGTTCCATTCTGGTGTTGTACATGCCTGTCCAGGGTTGTGAGTGCCTGTCCAGAATTGTGTATGTATATATGGGGTTGTGAATGCCTGTCTGGTTTTGTGTGTTCCAGTCTTAGGTTGTGGGTGCATGTACAGTGATGCGCATGTTTCATCTAGGGCTGTGCACGCATATTTGGAGTGTGTGTCCATGATGTATGTATGGGACTGTGGATGCTCCTGCAGTTCTGCTGCATGCCCATGGAAGTCTGGGCACACACCAGACTGCTGTACATGACCATGGAAGGCTGTGCACATCCAGATCTGGCTGTGTATGTCTGTGTAGGGATTGTGCCACTGTGGGTTGTGTGTGCCTGTGCATCACAGGCTTGTGCACGCTCCTGTGATGTTCTATGTGTCCCTGTGGGGCTGTGCATATTTATGCAAGGTTGTACAGGATTGTAGGTGCCCATTCCACCTTCTGTGTGGCACTAGGGGGGATCTGTGTCCCTCTACAGAGTTGTGCCTATGCTTATGCGGAGCTGTGCAATGCCCATGAGGGGATGTGCATGCTCCTGTGGGGTTGTGTCAACCCATACAAGGATGTGCATACTTGTGGGGTTGTGCAAGCCTAGGCATATTGTGCATGCCTGTGTAGGGTTGTATATGCTCTCATGGGCTTGTGCACCCCCACGTGGGACTGTGACAGCCCATGTGGCGTTATGTACACCCAGGTGATGCGTGTGTCCCTGCACAGAAACTGTGTGTGACCCAGAAGACCTCTTGTCCAGCCTGGGCATCCCCAAATCACAGAATCACAGAATAATGAGGCTGAAAGACACCTCTAAGATCATCAAGTCCAACCAATGCCCTAACACCTCAACTAGACTATAGCACCAAGTGCCATGTCCAGTCTTTTTTTAAACACATCTAGAGATGGTGATTCTACCACCTCCCTTGGAAGACAAATCTCATGGAACACCCTGTGCATCCCAGGCATACCCAAGGTCTATGCTGGCTTGTCACAAGTTACTCAGCTCAGCTCTCATCTCCACTTAAAAGCTGACCTTTGCTCCCTGTTTGATGTACTGTGTTTTTGCATCTTAGTGCCCCACAGATAAAAGGTTAGAGGTTAATAAACAGTGGAAAAATAGAACCTGGCCCTTGAAGGTCACACCTGTTTTGGGGGCTGGAGTCAGTAGCAGCCCACTCTAGGTGGAATCCTGCCTGCATCCATGGGAGGAGAAATACGAGTGGCACCCAGGGCAGAGGTGTGTGGGTGCTGAAGCCCATCCACTAGATGACCCTCGGGAAGGCCATGGCTTCACCTTGCAGTGGAATGAGTGGTAGTTGCCAGTTCTGGGGTTTTGCCCCCTCTTTGACAAACCAGATGTCAGGGGATTGACAAGCCAGATGTCAAAGCACTTAGTGTGGAGGCCTTCCAGAAGCAGGGACTGGCAGGAAAATGCAGGCAAAGCCTGGCTGACACAGCCTTCCTGGGGCAGAAATCAAAGCAGCCTCCTGGAGCTCTGCTCAGAGTCTGACCTAGTTACTGTAATCAATGGCTCTGGGACCTCCTGGAAAAGAGCAGGCAATGGGGAGGGGGCACAGAGTGAGGCAGGGAACACTGTGGTGGAGAGGGACACAATACTGGCACCCGGGGTCAGGGCACTCCAAGAGCACCCAGCTGCAAGGAGGGGATAGGTAAGTGGGGTCCAGAGAGCAGGGAAGCAGTGCAGAGGGAGCTCCATGGAGCCCAGCAGTCAGCACCTGTGTGTAGGGTGAGAGTCTGGCAACTGTACCCCTAGACAAAGATAGGAACAGACAGTTAGCACTGATCTGTATCTGACAAGGGACAGGCAGCTGGCACCTGCCATTTAGACAAGGGACTGTGTTAGGTGTGTCTGTTCAGTGGTGGGGTCTCTAGAAGCATCCTCACATCCCTGTAGGTCCCCAGATTCCCCCATCCCTACATCCCCACATCTCCATGTCCCCAAAGTCTCACACCCCATATCCCTACATTCTCATGTCCCTGTATTCATGTGTCCCCATTGCATCCCTGCATCACCCCAACTCCATGTCCCCCGGGTCCCTTCAGCCTCACATCCCTACATTCCCGTATCTCTGTGTTCATGTGTCCCCATGGCATCCACCCCCATCCCCACATCCCCGTGTGCCTGCAGCCTGACGACCCTTAAGCACAGCTCCCTTTATCTGTCTGGTGAATGATGTTCTGTGTGGAGCGGGGGTGTGCTCCCTTTCTATTGTTTTTTAACAGCCTTTCCCAGCACAATTGTTTTCTAAACGACTCTATTTTGTGCCTGACTTTGTTTTCCAGCTTGCATTTCTTTGTATACGTTTTGGAAATCCATTCTGGACTGCTGAGTTTTGTTTCTTTTCAATGGCTTTAAATTCTTACCGGGCTTGCTGGGAGGAATTGGTGTCTATAGTGTCTTCGATTGGTGCTAATTTTTCCTTCATGTGCTCTGACTTTTACTGCTGGGCCATCGATCTGGCAGGCTCCAATTTGTCATGGTCACTCAGGCACTGTGCTGGAATCAGGAGAGCCCAGACCTTCACACGAAGCCGGCACTTGGTGTCCCTGGTGTAGGGGCTGCACTCGCCTCCCCAGTGCTGGCCTTCAGCTCAGGCTGTGTCCCTGTGTCCAGGCCCTCCAGCACACATAAGTATCCTCACAGCCACGTGTTTGTGTCTGTGTAATCCTGTGCACTTGGCAGACCTGGCACTTGCATCTCCCTTGATGGTAGCCAGTGCCATGGTCAAGCCAACTTTTCCTTCCCAAGTATGGGATCATCCCCCACTGTTCAGATGGGCCTGTGTCCCTGTGAGGGATGAGGGCTGATGAGGATGCTGATCCCATGCTGGGGCTTGGGAAACAGCAACACTTGGCAGTGCCAGAGCAGAGCTGAGTATCCTGGTCGTGGGTGGGGCTTGGGTTTTGCTGATGCCTTGGGCTGTGACTCTTGCATCTAATAGGGTGATGGCCAGGACCAACTGAGGCACAGACCCAGCGTCCCTGCAAGAAAGATTGAAAATTGTGATCTGTGGAGAGCCTGTCCAGACCCAAGGCACAAGGAGAGCCCACACCCATGCAGAGGGTGTGTTAGGGGATTCTGTTATTGGTGCACAAAGAACCTCTTGTTGCTGGCAAAGCAGGCAGGTGGGGCCAGGGGTGATGAGGGCTTCTGGCACAGGCATTGTTTGACCCCAGGCACTGCTCCCTCCCCATTCTCACCTGCATGTGCTGGAAGCACTGACCCTTCTCTCTCTCCTGCCTCCAGCTGTATGAACTGGATGAAGACCCAAAACGCAAGGAGTTCCTGGATGACCTCTTTGGCTTCATGCAGAAGAGAGGTAAAGGTGGGTGGCTGGGGTGGGTGCCACTGCCATTGCTGCCTCAGCTGCTGGTGGGGGGTTCATAGTGTGTTGCTCTGAGGCTCTGAGCTGCCCCAGGTCTCTGCAAATCCCTCAGGCAGCTCCTGTGGTGCTCCCCCTGGGCCTCCCCTGTCACCCCAAGCTGGGGCAGCTGTCCATGCGGATATCCCAGATATCCCGTGCCCATTAGCGATGCCTAGCAGGGATGCCCACTGGAAACACCTGGTGGGGATGTCCATTAACATACCCCTTGGTGACAAGCATTAGCAACACCCGTTAATGTCCATTAGCAATTTTCAGGACTTTTTAGGCATGCCCGATGGGAATGCCCTTGGTAGTGCCCTTTGGGACTCCCTGTTAGCAGCACCTAGTGACGATGCCCACAGTCAGCACCTCTCAGCAATGCCTGTGATTTGTGGGATGGGGCCAGCAATCCGGGCTGCACCCGGGCACACAGGGGTTAAGGGCTCACCAGCCAACCCATCCTCATCGGAAATCTTTGCTATCGGCATGGGGAGCCGAGCCAGCTCCTGGGGACTCGATAAATGCTTTAACCTTCGCCCTCCCCGGCCAGGCCTTCGACAATTAAAAGTTGCCGAGTGCGGGCGGGCGTGTGGCCGGCCGTATTAATTAGAGCCTTTTGCTGGTGTGTGGATTAATGAACAAGCCGCTCAATAGCCAGTAAACCCCAGGCAGAGGTTAATGCCAAGCTAATTAACGGGGAAAGGCTGAGCGGGGTGCAGGAGCTTTGGGGCTGGCTGTGCATGGGGTGAGGAGGGGCAGAGGGAGGCAGTCACCTGAACGCCCTGCCCATCGGAAGGGTAGTGAGAGTCCCCACCTGGCTGTGGGGCTGCAGAGATTGACTTTTGGGCTGGGCTGGGACACCACAAACTTGTTGCAGTCATGGGTGTGTGGTGAGTGGCTGGCACGGCCACAGGACTCTCACTGGGGCCAGCTGTAGGATGTGGATGGGCTGGGTACTGCCCCATGGGTGCCCCCTGGCCCTGGTGCAGAGCTGTGGGGAGTGAATGGGAGCATCAGCACTGCCTCAGCCCTCCAGCATCCATCAGCTACAAGATTCATGGGCTGTTCTGCAGCTTCATTATCTCTCTCTCCAGAGCTAATTAACTCCCTCGCTATTGGGGCTGGGGCTAATTAAGTAAGTGCCTGCTGGTGTGGGGAGGAGGGAGGGAGTCTAATGCTTCCCTGATAGTGCTGCTCCACATCTTTCTGTGTCTGCATGTCCCACCCACTCTTGTGCCCTCCATCCCTTCTGTCCTGCCTGCCCTCTGAGTGGGTGCCATCCCTCTGGGGAGGGCAGGCAGGGTCTGGGTGCACAGGTGCAGGTGTGCAGGGATTGGTGTGTATTAACCTTTTGTAGGAGACAGAGATTTTGGACTGGGATAGCAAAGAGAAAGGCTGAGGGGCAAGGACAGCATCCCAGGGGTCATCAAGAGCTGGGTAAGAAGCGGTACCTGAGAACCACTGCAGGTGCAGCTGGGGCACCCAGAGGTGCATGGGCTGGGGACTGTGACACCCAGTCTGTGTCCTAGGAGGTCTCCAGGAGTGGGTTGATGTCCACAGGGTGAGCCCTGCTTAAAGGGACTGCATCCCGCCTGCTGTCAGGACAGTATCAGCACTGACATTTGTCAGCAGAATGAGAAAGTTGTAGGGCTGAAAAATGGGTTGGGAGACAGACCTTCTGAGGCCACCCTATGGCACAAGGACACAGCTGGCCCTGGTGGCTCATGGAGGTGTTACAACCACTGCCATGAGGTACGGGGTACAGGCAGTGGGGCAGCTCATAGGCATTCCCCAACTTCTGTGGCACTTCAAAGGCAGTAATCAGGAACAGAAGAGGGCTTTTTCTGCATTTGCTTACTGGGGTCTGCAGGTTCCTCCCCCATTTCACCACCAAGCTGAGTGCCCTGCTGATAACACGGGGCTATTAATCAATCAAAGCGGTAATTGCAGCACCACAATGGCTGCATCACTTCCCTGGGCTATTGTGCCCTTCGCCCTGCTGGGGCTGGGGCCATTACTTTGTGGGGATGCAGACAGGTGCCTTTGTCAGGGGGACAGGCATCGGCCACACAGCCTGCACAGCGCTGAGATTAATGGCAAGGCACTTTACTAAGCCACTAAGGCTGGAGAGGAGAGGGCAGGGGAGGGGAAGGGAGGGGAGGAGAGGAGAGGAGAGAAATCCATGGGCCATTGGCTGGGGGCTGAGACCCTGAGAACTCATTGTTTGGGGGTGAGGAAGAGCCCTCAAACTGGCCCCCTCGAGGTGATGGGTCTTGTGCCAGCAGCCCTGAGCAGGGCTGGTGAGCTACTGACAGCAGTTGTCAAGTCAATATCTCTGCCTTTCTCCCAGGAGGATAAACTCCTCTCCCCCTTCCCGACCTGGTGAACAACACAGACACACACAAAAAAAAAAAAAGTTAAATGAACTCTGTAAAAGAATAAAAAGAGCTCATTTTTCAGGCTTATGTGAAGAAGCCAAGCCAATATCAGGGCCATAAATTAGGGATGCTGGAGGATGGCGGTGAATGACAGCTTCGTTTGAGGGGCGAAGTGCAGTCGTGACAGCTTCCCTTGGACAAATAGATGGCTTTCCAATACTGCCTGTGCCCCGCCACTTTGCAGGAAGAATAAATACGGGGTGGAATGCCACAGGACGGGACAGGGTGGGATGGGATGTGATGCTTGTCCCTCCTCTGCCCAGCTTCCAGCGAATGCCCAGACCATCGTCCCAAGGAGGCATGGAGCACAGCAAGGCTGTGAGGTTATTTGGGGCTGCTGAAAAAGTGGGGAGGGTTTTTTAGCTAAACTTGGTGGCTGTAGAGACCATGTTGATCTATATTGGGCTCACAGAACCCTGCTGAACCCATGTTCCCTTGCCCTGTAGCCTCACAGAGGAGGATGGTGGTGGGTTACCAGGGGTCAGGGTCCCTGCTGAGAGCAGTTGAAGAGGATTTGGGGTCATATTCCTTGAAGCAGGGCACTGAAGTCCTTTAAGCAAGGGAAACTTCTGGAGCCATCTGTAGGATTAAGAGGTTTTTCAGGAACTCTTTGGAAGAGTCTGGAGCTGGAAGAGAAAACCTCTCCATAGAGAGATGGTAGGGTGAGCCCTCCCAGAAGGGTTGTGGGGGTCATCCCTGTTCAGAAAGGTTATAGGATGGGTCTCTTTTTAAAGTGTAGATGGAGTCTCTCTTTATTGGGCTCTGAAAGAGTACTACAGAGTGAATAATTTTAGGATGCTCTGCGAGTTTTCATAGACTGATGCTGTACAGATAGCTCTGAGAACTGTAGGGTGGAAGCTTTATCTAAGGGTGCCTGGAGGCATGATTTTGTCCATCCCACTGATGCTCCATATCCCGGAAGAGAGCATACGCAGCCACACTAACAGCTCCGTCAAAGGTGACTCTCTGCCAGCATGCTGGGGTCTCCCCTGCTTTTTGGCACGGTTCTACTCTCCCAGGCAGCCTGGGTCCTAGGTGCCCCCCAGGTGCCCATGGGTGTTCACATGGGCATGGAAAGATAAGACTCCCATTGTAGGTACCTGCATTGTTGGGCATTGTGGCATTGTTAGGAGGGTGGGGGCTGTGATCCCAGGTACAAAGGGCGCCTGTGGGCAGCCCCCCACACCCTCTCACACCTTCTTCTGTCTCCTGTGTGCCTCTGGAAGGAACACCAGTGAACCGCATCCCTATCATGGCCAAGCAAGTGCTGGACTTGTATACACTGTACCAGCTGGTGACAGACAAGGGTGGCCTGGTCGAAGTCATCAACAAGAAGATCTGGCGGGAGATCACCAAGGGCCTCAACCTACCTACCTCCATCACCAGCGCTGCCTTCACCCTCCGCACACAGTGAGTGCCTGGCAGCATGGCAGGTGGGGGACACCTCTCCTGGGATACCTGCTGGCTCAGATGCCCCAGAGCCCTGGATGGGTCTGACATGGAGTACCACAAAAGTGGTTGGAGGACTCTGCTCCTTCCCAAGGGCTCTTTGCTCAGCACAAGGCTGGCTGGGAGGTGCACGGCTGTGGATTTCCTCCTGGCTCTCTCCCTGTGCAGATACATGAAGTACCTGTATCCTTACGAATGTGAGAAGCGGGCGCTCAGCTCTCCCGGAGAGCTCCAAGCTGCTATTGACAGCAACCGTCGGGAGGGACGGAGGCAGACCTTTGGCACAGCACTCTTCAACTACTCGCCAGCCAGCACCCCAACCCTGCTGGGCACCCCCAAAATGCCTCTGCCAGCTCTTAGCATCTCCACACACAGCTGTGGCCAGCTCAGCCAAATGCACAGCGTTAAGAAAGGTGGGTGAGGATCCCATCCTCCCAGAGATGGACATTGCTGTAGCAGCAGGGATGTTCCCTCTCTCTTCTTGTCCTTTTTTCTTGGGGAAAATAGGAACCGTGTTGTTCTTTTAGTCCCTTTCAGGGAGTAAAATGACTGTATTTTCACTGTTTTTGGAGAAGGACCAAGCCCAGATGTTGGGAGTGGTGGCCTACCCTGCACCATTGCTGGTGGGGTGGAGTGGTACCAGTGGGTGGTGATGAGGGACCTATTGAGCTCTCTTGGTCATTGCAGAGGATGGAATGCTGGCAGCATCAGTGCCTGGGCGCATCACTATCCCTGTGGGACTGGCTGGCCACCATCTCACAGCAGCCCAAGCAGCAGCTGCCTCACAGGCAGTGGTGCTGGAGCAGCTGCGGGAAAAGCTGGAGACAGGGGAGCCCCCAGAGAAGAAGGTGGCCCTGACAGCGGAGGAGCAGCAGCGGCTGGTGCAACATGCACTTCAGCACAACCTCCTGGCCATGGCCTCCCAGTTCCCCATGAACATCAAGATCTCCAACCGAGGTAAAGAGATGGAGCAACTCGGCCTTGGTCATCCCCTTCCGTGTCACCCAAGGTGGGAGTAGCAGCAGCCACTGGAGAAGAGTATGGATGCCCAGAGGGACTGCATCCCGGCTTATCTGACTCGGACAGGTTCTTGTTTCTGTTTCGCTTAACACTCATATTGGTATTTCCTTTCCCCAGATGACAGACAGGAGACCGCATTGAACCTGTCCACCAACAGCATTAGCAGTATCAACATGTCAATAGAAATAAATGGAGTTGTCTACACAGGTAAATAGAAGGGCCGCTTGGCCCGTGTAATTGCGGCCGGGAAATCCAATAACTTATAGCCACTGCCTGGCCAGCAAGTCCTTCCTTCAATCTGATGTCTTTACTATAAAATCCATCGTAATGAAGTGGCAGGGCTTGGGGAGAGGGGGCAGGAGGAGGAGGGGGTGGACAAGGATGGAAATTGGCCCAAAGCAGGTGCTAGCAATGAAAGGCTAAAGTAGAGGGTGAATAGATGGACAGATGGACAGACTCTGGCTGAGAAGTGACCCTGCATCTAGGGTCATTCCACACCCCAGGGTCCTGGAGTCAGGGCATGGACTGGGGGTCACTGCTATGCTTGTGTGCCCAGAAGGTCTCTGGTTGGGTGTGGGAATTGGGTGATTGCAGAGCTTTGTGCAGGGAAAGATGTGCTTTGGTGCTTTGGTGGAGCAGAGGATCCTTTGGGGTGCCAATGTGCACCAGCCTGGCTAAGCAGCCCATCCCATGCCCCCCAGATCCATGCCTGTCCTGCTGAGACATCCTACAATTAAAATCAATGGCTTTGCCTTCAGAACTTAAATATTTAACGAATGGGAAAGGTCAGGGCTAAGCATCATGTGGGGCTGCCAGCCAAATGGGCCCTGGGCCACCCCACAGGCTGTCCCATGCAGGGAAGGATGACTAGGTTGGGGGAGACAACACAGCTGATGAGAGGGGACTTAAGCCCCCATGAGTCTGGGTTCCGCACTCCCTAGCCTGGGTGCTGGGGGCCAGGTGAGCTGATCCTCCAGCCCTGGGCTTGCTTTAACTGGCTTATTCTTGTCCCACAGGTGTCCTGTTTGCCCGCCGGCCCTCAGCCACCCTGGCACCTGGTGGAGGGAGCACCCAAACCCGTCCAAACCCCATGCCTGCCCCAAACCCCCTGCTCCCAGCCTCCTCCCAAAGCCACACTCCCACTAGCTCCTCTCCGTAAGGCAGATGTGCCCCCACCCTGAAAGCAGCTGGGGATGCCCAGAGTCTGGGGTCTGAACTGTGGGACCCACTGGGCCACCAGGGTTGGATGGGGGACCCAAAGGTGCCGCTTGCTGCAATACTGAGCTGTGGCCATGCAAGGCTGTGAACACCCACGCAGGCCCTTTTATCCCTTATCCCCATGTGTGCCATCTGACAGACACGCGCACACACACACACACACACACACACACACAAGTTTCTTCCAAGTCACCACCCCCAGGTGACCCTCCCATACATCTGCTGCCCTGATGCCTGGGGGACCCCTGGGACCTGCATGCTGCATCCCCTACATCCTGCAGCCCCTACCCCACCTCAGTGCACACACTGCTGCCCCTGTACACGCCTCAATGCATTCACTGTATTCCCTGCACACGCCCTTGGTGCCCACTTTACCTCTCCATACACACCCTCCGTGCAGCCATGATATGCTGCAGCCCCTGTAAATTGTAGCCCCTATACTCTGCAGCCCCGATATATATACTGCACCCCCTACCCACTGCAGACGCCCCTACCCAGTCCTCCTGTGCTGCCTGGGCTTGCTGTCCCTGCCCTGAGATACCCCCAGGGTGGTGGCATCTGAGCCCCCCAGGTCCTCAGCTCAGGGGGATCACCCTGGGGGGGGCAAAAAATGGGGATATTGGTGGGAATGGTGGGGGTGAAACTTATTGGGGTGTGGCTGGGGTAGGGGGTTTATGTCGGGGTGGGTTTTTTTGGTGGGGGAGGGCAGGGTTGCCCAGTAGAGCCCCCACCACCACCACCACCAAAGACTGCTTGGGTGCCAGGGTCTCCAGATGGGTGACAGGGAGACAGAGGGCACTCTGAACTACCTCGTTGGGGCTGGGCGGGCGCCTCCTCCACCCACGTGTACCCCAGGGTGCCAAAGCAGGTGAGTGTGGAGCGATGCTCACCTCTACCTCAGCACGGGGGGCTCGGCGGCGCTGGCCTGCTCCCCGCACTCCCACCGCAACCACGCGACTCCATGTATCTATTAAAGGAAATTAACTCCTGAACCAAAACGGTGCTGAGGGTTGTGTGCAGGGCATGGTGCCACCCACCGAGCCCCGGGGCCCAGATGGAGGTGCAGGACATCCCAACAGCCTGTGATACCCTGGGGTAACACCTGCAGTGCCTGAGGTTTCACAGCCCAACTCATGCTTGCCTCCAGCTCAGGTTCTGGGAACTCTGAGTTGCAAACAAGTGCCCTATGCCCACAAGAGCTCGCAGACGTGGGCTGGATCAGACAGGTCACCAGTTTCAGCTGTGCCAGCCAGGCTGTCCATGAGCCTGGCTGAGCCCCCATGAGCACTCAGTGGCAGCTCACCCATGAGTGGGGATCCGATTAGGCTGCCCTGTGCAGGAAAGGAAACATGACACTGGAGCTGCTGAGACCATGTCCATGGGGGTGTCAGTTTGGACCTGGTAAGATGCCAGGAGTGATGCGCCAACCTGGCACATGAGCAGTGCCCACAGAGGACACAGGTGACCATGGTGGAGCTGGGAGGCACACACATATGTGGGTGGTCATGTGTACTCCCTTGTACAAATTCAATGGCGTGCACTCTGAGACTGTCACACTCATGCCCAGACATGGACTGCCACACGTGTGCAGCCCCCTGAACATCTGAACAGGCACAGGGGCTCCCGTGGGGACAGACACTCCGGCTAGAGGCAACGACGAAGATAGGTCCCTGGCACCCAAGGGGGCAGAAACTCCTGATTGAGTCCCCACCCCGCCCCCTCCCCGAGGCCAGACTCAGACCCCTGGGGACACACAGCTTCTCGGGAACAGCTGCTGTTCCTCAGGTACAGCCCCAACTCAGCCCCTCGAGGACAGCCCCCAGTCCTCCCAGAACAGCCCCAGCCCCTCGGAGACAGCCACAGCCCGGACTCCCGCTGACATCCCAGCGCGGATTCCCAAGGCAAGGGAGCACCCCCAGTCCGGACCTCTGAGCCCACCCGGGAGTGCTGTCGCTGTCCAGGGTGCTGCAGCAGCGCTGCCCGCCCCGGACCCAGCCTCGGGACACGGGGGTGTCGCGGAGGGTGGGGTGTCACGCTGGAAACGTGTTGAGGACATGGGTTGACACCCCTGCAGAGGACCGGTGGTCTGGCGGGTCGACCCCTGTGGTCTGGCCACTGGGGATGGAGGAAGGTTCATGAACAAGGCATATGTGTGTGCGTGTGGGGGGGATTTGTTTGTGAGTGAACGAAGCAGAGCTGGAGTGGGATTGATGCAGCCTTAATTGCGGTCTTGTGTCCCTTTGCACTGCTGTGAAGTGCTGGCCACAGCTCATCGAGCACCACAGCCCCAGGGAACCAGCAGGGCACATGCGGGCCCCGTCCCCACTCATTACCAGGCTCAGAGGGTGATGTGTGTTTCCGTACTCCCTGGGGAGCCTGGGGACACAGCTGCTGTCACCTGAGTAACAGCCGTGATTGATGCCTGCTTCCCCATGTCCTGCAGGGACTGTAATTGAGCAGGAGAGAGTAGTTGGAGGATGAGGGGACAATCCAGCCCAGCCGATGGAGCATTGAATCCAGCTTCAGCACTGAGCTGAGGGCAAGTGATTGAATCAGTGTGCCCCTGCAGGCTCCAGGGGATGTGGTCAAAGGCCTGCTTCTATTCCCAGGAAGCAGGGAACAGGCTCCATGTGCTGGGCTGTGGGCAATCAGTGCTGTAGCTGCAGCTCCATTCCAAGGTTTGCAAAATGGATGGAACTCTAAAGGGTGGATGTGAGAACCCCGGGTTTGGTTTGGGGTCTCAAGTGGTGGTAAAGTCTCTCCTCCAACCCGTGCTTCCAAAGAAAAACTCTGCAGTCTCTTGCTGTTCGGTCTCAAGGCAGTTTATTGCTAGTTATCTAACAGATTGGGTTCTTGGGCTGCAGCTGTTTGATCAGCGGCCCAGGCAGAGACGCACACACACACTGACACCCTCACTGCCCAGTGTCTTCTTCTTCTCTCCCCCCGCCCAGGGCTGCTGCTATCTTTTATATGATATATCACGTATAACATGTTTACAATTATTCCCCAATACCTACTACCTATATAACCAAGTGCTTTTCTACTCTAAACCAATCTGTGAGTGCCAACATCACCAAGAACATGGAGGTAAGGAAGAAGAAAGAGGAAGGACAGCATCAGCCCACTTTCCTCCATCTTAGAACTTCTGATCCCCATGTACAAAGTAAAAGCCCCCCTGTACATGTGCTAAAACCCCCCTGTACAATACCAAAAAAATTTCCCCTCTACTTTGTAACTACTTTTACTATACTATCTAACCTTTTGTGACTGCTTGTTCCACCTTCAAAGTTGGTAATTCATTCCATGGTTCAAACTCAAAATCACAGCTGTTTCCAGCTGCCTGCCGGGGTCTAGAATGCCTCTGACCAAGGCCTGGAACCTCCAAAAATGTCTGAGAGACATTTTGAGTTCCCACAGGAGGATGAGGACAGTCCCAAAGCCCCCAGTGCGTGAGGCCCAGGACTGCCTGAGTTTCTCAGCTCAGGGTAGTCTGGGACCCTCTAGTACAGGTGTTTGTGTGTCTGGGGCATTTCCCATCATGCTGGGCCCAGGCCACAGTAGAGCTGGTGCCCTCTAAGCACAGACCATCGCTGTGTGCACAGACCCCGGCCCTCCTGCAGCCCCTGGCCCCTCCTGCAGCCCCCAGGTGCTTCTGCTAATGAAGCCATTTCTATTTGTCGCCTTTGTGGAACAAAGCTCAGCTCTTCACCCTCTGAAGATCCCAGTTATCGATCCCTGGGAAGAAAAGGCAGCACACATGAAGTCTCAGCCTTCTCCTGCTGCCTAAGTGCTCTGCACAGCTCCTGCAGGTGAGCTGGGGGAGCATAAGGGCTGCTGAGGCACTGGGCCACCCCACAGCTCCCTTCTGCACCCTGGTAGGACTATACAATGCCCAGTAGGAATGTACCTGTAAGGACAATGATTTATCACGGCACAGCAGATTTAGCTTTCAGCAAAGGGCAATGGGAGGGTTCCTTAAAGCCATGCCTCCCACATTATCAGTGATGTTAGCAAAATACCTGCAGTTAGGAGATGGTTTTTATCTAAAGAGTGGCTTGGAACCTTGACTTGATGTTCCCTGGTGCCTGGGCTATGGCAGTGCAAAACCCAGGCCCATGTTCATCCTGGCACTGCTGAAGTCATCAGTACATGATGGGACTGAGCCCTGGGATACAGAGAATGACAGCAGAATGTGCTTTGAAAATTCACAGAATCACAGAATCATCAGGGCTGGAAGGGACCCCTGGAGATCACCCAGTCCAACCCCCCTGCCAAAACAGGGTGATCTGGAGCAAGTGACACAGGAACATATCCAGGTGGGGTTGGAATGTCTCCAGAAAGAAGACTTTAGAGCCTCCCTGCACAGCTGTTCCAGTGCTCTTCCACCCTCAGGATAATGAAGTCTTTCCTTCTGTTTTATGACCATTGCTCCTCATCCTGTCACAGGGCACCACTGGAAAGAGTCTGGCACCATGCCCTCTGATACCAATTTTTGATATATTTATATGCATTCATGAGATCCCCTCAGTCTTTTCTCCAGACTGAACAGGCCCATCTCCAGCAGCCTATACCCAGAAGAGAGATGCTCCAGACCCCAGATCATCCTTGTGGCCTCTGCTGGACCCTCTCCAGTAGCTCCTTGTTTCTCTTGTGCTGAGGAGCCCAGAAAGGGACAGAGCATTTGAGGTGTGCCCTCACCAGGGCTAAGTAGAGGGTCAGGATCACCTCCCTTGACTTGCTGGCTACAGTCTACCTAAAGCACCCTCAGATACTTTTTGCTGTGCAGCTGGGAAACCCTCTGGATTTTTTTCTGTGGCAGATGCAGCTACTATGAATTAATTTTATCCCTGTTAGAAGTCTGTGTAATTGTGAGTGCCAGTTGAAGGCAGTGGCACGGCTGGGGTTGGCTGCACCATTCATTAGTAGTTCTCTTCTTCACGAGTGTCACCTGTGGCAATCAATAACAGAAAGGTGAACGCGGGCACACAGAGGCCTGGGGGAAAGCCGGCGGCAGCCTCCCGCATTTCAAAGGGCCTGCATGCGCACGGATCGCTATATCAATTCCTTTTAATACATCTGAGCGCCTCTTTCCTGGAGGACCACGCCGGAATGAAGCGGCCATCGACTGCCTTCCCAGGCAGCGGGAGGGCTGCACGCCTCCCTCTGCAGTGCAAATCGCCATCGACCGCGCCGCATCCTCTGAGAGGGGCTCCGCGCCGCCAGACGCGGCCTCCCCTCCCGTCTCCATGGCAACCGCGGTCCTTAGCAACGCGCCGCCATGGCAACCGCCAGGGCGCGCCGGAAGTGGGGCGCGGCCGCTTCCGCCCGGCACGAAGATGGCGGCGGGCGCTGCGGAGCTGCGGCGGCTGCAGTGGCGGCTGGAGGAGCTGGAACAACGCGTCGGCCTCGGCGGCTGCGGGCCGCAAAAGGTGCCGGGGGGAGCTGCGGAGAGCGGCCGGGCGCCGTTTGGTGCGGTCTGGCGGGGCCTGGGGTGCCGCTGCCCGGCGGGGCCTGACAGCCCCCTCCCCTCCCTCTGTGCCTCTGCAGGTAGCAGACGAGCTGGTGAAGGTACAGGTGGCGCTGAACAATATCGCCGGCAAGAGGGAGAGGAT